AAAAACTGTAAAAAAATATTTTTAGGGGCCAGGAATGTAGCTCAGTGGCACCGCATCTGCCTTGCAAGTGCAAGGTCCTGAGTTCAATCCCCTTTTTTAAGGCACCAAAAGGTAGTTTTCATCTGGTGTTTTTCATTTAAGTTTTAAGAACAACTAGTACATATTTATACATTTTTTGTGCAAAAGTAAATGAATGGCAATAGATTTTTTTTTAAATATTGCATACTTCTGTGTGAAAAAATCTACATAATATTTCCCTTAAATATGCATTATTTTAATTGTGAGTTTTTACTGAATTAATCTGAAATGTACAAGCCCTGGATTTGCAACAGAGTGAGAAGTTACTTTTTTTAATTGGAAATTCTGCAGAAATTAGAACTCTTACCATGGTTCGAACTAAGAAGGGAAAGTAGAGAGAGGAAAAGGGTGAGATTTTCCAGCACACTTGTATATGTGTATTTCAGAACCTTTTTTAGATCTAAAAGTTGTACATTGCTGGGAAATTCAGAATTTCTTTTGTTTCTTTTTTTCCTTCCAACATTTTACAGTGAATTTCTTTTATATATAGCAAACAATTGGAAAAATACAAAAATATGTGAAGTTCACTAAAAGAAACTACAGTATAGTGCTGGTACAGAACACTAAAAGACTGATAAAAAGAAACAATAATAAAAAGCCTCCATATTACATGTCATTCATATATCCTTGTGGATGAGAGCTATGTACTTTAACACACTTTTTTAGAGGAATAAATTATTGAATTACTGAAGAAGAAAAGAAAAAAAGAAATGTGTGTCATTTGCTGTAGGTACTCACTTTTCAATCACTGCCTTATATATTGGCCCTTCTGTGAGAAAAGCGAATAAAACCTACAGTTTTTATAAGTTTCAACAGAAACTGCACCTGCGTGTGAGTGACATACCCTAAAGCTCCTCAAAGCTTTCCCTGTCCTCCCATTTGTCTACAAAATTTCTGGAAGATGCTTTTCTTAGCATCCATGCAGCTGATAGTGCTATGGTCCACACAGCAAGAGGCCACACAGCACAGTGGTTATGCCTGTGCAGTCTGGAACTGGACTGGACAGCACTCCCCATAATTACTGGCTACCCCAGTGACCTAGAATAACTGGATAACTTCTCTAAGCTTTGATCTTGTCTATAATATGGAGATATCAAGAGGATTCCCCCCCCATAACAGTTAAAGATTAAATGAGGTGAAACATGCAAGTATTTGGAAGAGCAGTTTACACACAGCTTCATTTTTAATCCAGGACATTCCCACCCTGCCAAGGGCCAACTTGTGAGGCCTCCAGCCAGGGGCCAAAGGCCTATTAATGACACCAACCTCTTCCAGGGACAGGGCCATATCCAAGCCAGACCTGGACTCACTCCTGTCCCCACATGATCACCACAGGAGAGGTACACACCATTCCGGGTCCACTGAGAACTCCCTCTCATTAGATGAACTATGAAGTCAGAAAGCTGGTGAAAAGCTAGAGAACTAAAAAAGTAGAAAACCAATTTGGTCAGTTTTTAGATGCCTTGCCCCATATCTTTCTAAAACATGAGATGACAAGCCAATAATAAAGGCTCAGCTGCACTGTAAGAGCCAAGTCTTGCTTAAACCTCACTGCCACAATGGTATCCAAAAAACCTGCTATGCATCCATCTCTTTACCGTGCTTTATCTTAAAGTGGATTATCAGTGAACTCTTACTGCATACCCGATGCAATCAGAGCACTGTTCTCCATACTGGAAATCATGAAAATAAAGGCCCTTGCTTCTGTAGAGGCTTATTCATTCCCAGAGATAAATATTTATCAAATTCTCATTTTGAGCCAGGTACTAATTCAGGCACCAGGGAAAGAACAATGAACACAATAGATTAAAAAGCCCTGCCTTCTGGTGCAAATGATATTGGGAGATGAAGAGACAGATAATAAAATAGCTGAGAAAATTAAATAGTGTATTGGTAATAAGCTGTGAAGGGGAAATACAACAGAGAAAGGGGATACCTGAATGGCAGATGTGTGATGCAGAATAGGCAGTGGACAGGATTCAGCTGGCAGGGGTGCTGACTAGAGACCTTGAAGATGCACCAGGACAGGAGAGGCACTAGGCAGAGGCTGGAGTAGCCCATCAAGCCATGGGGCATAATGGAAGAAATGAAACAGACTCAGGGATCTATAACCTATGCAAGCCAAGAATTCCCCTGAATCAAAGGAAAGGACCACACATTCACAAGTCATAGTACATTTGCCACAGAAGATAGCAGAGCAGCTGGTGACTAGGCAGGAAGGGAACATGGAACTGGAATCTAGCAACTGGCATCCCAGGCACCCTAGGAGCCAGCACAGACTTAAGCACTTGTCCCTATTCTGGCTGCACAAAGACATTAAAGCACCTGGGCCCCTATCCCCACATACCTGGGTCACCTAAGGGAAAGACCCCATGAAAAAACTGAACCCTACCTAGAGGGTCTGTGACATTAATCAACTGGACTGTGCTGTACTCGGGCTAGATCATTTTCTCTTGCTGCCTAACAGCTGAGAGCTCAGAGAAAATCATATCAACTATAAATGAAGAAATTACATTTTCTCTGACTAAGGGGAGGAGGAAAGGAAAGAAAAGAGAAAAAGTAGAGACAGTAGATACTCTACAGTGAATACAGTGAAACTCTAAATAGAGTTTTGCTGAAATCACAGAAATGATCCAGAAGGGAGGAAATGTTGATGATAGATGAGAGAGGGAATTAATAGAATGATTCCTTCCAAGGTAAATAGAGTGCCTAAGGGGCTGAGCTGACTCCAGATACAAGCACCACCAATTCATTCATCTGTCCAGGAGGGAAAATGAGGGAGTGTATGCATGGTAGTAAGAAGTTTAGAAATTGCCTTCTGATTGCTTCTTTTTTTTGTTTTTCCAGAAAAACAGGCACACAGTCCTAGAGGGAGGAGGGGAAGGAATTGTTGGTATTTACGGAGAGAGGAGGGCACACGACAGGAGTGGGGATGGGGAGGAAGTAGGGTATTTAGATGGCAGGAGTCACCAGGCTCTAGTGAAACAACTCAACAGCTAAGTAGAATCCTGCATGGAGTGGGCAGAGAATTCCACTTAGCCACTTATGCCAGTGCCCTCCTTGGGTAGACAGAATTGACAACAGAGAGCAGGGCAAGGGAGCTGAGCATGACTGCCTGGGGGTGAACATGACAGCTCATGGAATTTAGGCTGGCAAATGAAGGGAAATGAAGACACGAGGCAGGTGAGGGACAGACAAAAAGGTAGGAGTGACTGACTGGAGGACTCCATCCGGTGAAGGATTATAGGAGGGAAGGCACAAGTAAAAGTGAGCTCAAAAGAGTGGGGATGGGGTGAGAAGTAGGGATGACTGCAGTCAATACAGAGTGCTCCCACTTGATAGTAAGGAATAAGCTGCATCTACCAGAGTGGCTTACAGATAGGATCCAGGGCATGATTCTTGATAGAAGGAGGCCAACAACCCAAAAGGCCAAGGCAAGATGCACGTTAGTGGGTGTGTACTTGTGAGAGACAGCGAGGCACCTCGTCCTCAGGGAACAAGGGTGAGTGACTGGGAGGGCCTGTAGACTGTGGCGCGATGAAGCTAGGCTTTAGGGTGGCTAAAAATAGTGATGGGGGTGGGGATGACAGGAACCCCCACCAAGCCATGGTTCCTGCAAGAGACAGAGAACTCAACAGAAGCATGTTTCTAGTGTGAAGGCAGGTTTCAGGTTCAAAAGAAGTAAAAAGGGAACTTGGAGATAAAAGCTTTAAAAATATATATTTTTGGTTTTATTTTTTTGAGACAGGGTCTCACTATGTAGCACAGACTGGCCTCAAACTCACAGTGATCCTCTTGCCTCAGCTTCCCAAGTGCTAGGATTACAGGCATGTGCCATCACGCCAGGCAAGAAGGCTGAAATTTTAAGCCACAAAAAGATGGATGAAAAAAAAATCACTAGACATGAGTTTATTCACACAGAGATACAGGACTTGGTAGAAGAGCAATATGGGAAGTTTCAGCGAGGATGATGGAAGCAGAGACAGACTGAGGAGGTGGAACTGGACACTGGTGAGACATCAGGCCTGCAGGCTCTGGGATCAGACCAGCCACCTTCCGTGTCCCAGGCTACCTGCTTGCTCTAAAGAGAGACCCACTTTGTCCACAGGAAAGGAGCTGCTCAGGGCATAGGAGTAAAGGGAAAACACAGGGCCAACCACAACCTAAGCACTGCATGTCAGCCATTGTCATCAAGACCATAAGGACTGACCCAAACACCAGTTTTCATCCTTTTCCTAAATTTTCATTCTTTCAGGTGTTGGCAAATAGCCTGGTTTATAAAACATTCTGTAGATAAAAACAGCATATGGCACGTGTAAGACATAACATTTAAGTCTAGTTCTTTATGGTGAGTAAACATGTTCATATTTGTAGATTTCAGAGACCCTTGAAATTAGTCAACCTCCTCCACTACCACTTGCAAAGTGGGCTGGGTGAGGTTAGCACTGGTCCAGGGTCACATTGCAACTCCTGTGGAGCCAAGACCAGATCTGGGAAGGACTCTAAACTCTGATCTAGACTGTTCTACTATTTAGGATTGTACTATTTCCTTCCTGGTAGTCATTGAGAGCATTTCCAAACCTCCAGGACACAGCCAGCACCCAAGATTCCTCACAAAGTCCCCTGTGTACCTGGCTGACAAAAACACCCGCACTGCGCTGGGTCCAAGGAACCAGCTTCTCTGGGATTCAGAAACTGCTACCCAGGACGGGGCAGGGCTCGTGCACTGCAATCGCCGCCCGGTGAGGTGTGCCAGCTGGTAGCCAGAGAAGCGCCCTGGAATACAAAGGGACTGGGAAGGCCTAGGAGCCAGGCGAGCCGAGGCCAGGGGTGGAGACTTCGTGCTGCTGCTCCCAGCTCCCTGCAGCTTCTGCCCCAGCTCTGATCTGCGGCTCCCGAACCTCTCAGAGGCAGGGCTTGGCTGTGCGCAAAAGGGCTCGCCTGGGCCCCCGCGCCACCGCGTTCTGCCATCGGGCCGGACACGCCTGCTGGGCCGCTAGTTCCCATGGGCAGCCCCTGGAACTGCAGCGACGGCCAGGAAGGTGCTCGGGAACCGCCGTGGGCAGAACTGCCACCGTGCGACGAAGGCCGCTGCTCAGCCTTCCCGCTAGGGTCCCTGGTGCCGGTGACTACCGTGTGCCTGGGCCTGTTCGCAGTCGGGGTGACTGGCAACATGGTGACTGTACTGCTCATCGGACGTTACCAGGACATGAGGACCACCACCAACCTGTACCTGGCCAGCATGGCCGTGTCCGACCTGTTCATCCTGCTCGGACTCCCTTTCGACCTGTACCGCCTCTGGCGCTCGCGGCCCTGGGTGTTCGGGTCTCTGCTCTGTCGCCTGTCGCTCTACTTGGGCGAGGGCTGCACCTCCGCCACGCTGGTGCACATGACGGCTCTCAGCGTCGAGCGTTACTTGGCCATCTGCCGCCCGCTGCGGGCCTGCGTCCTCGTCACCCGGAGCCGCGTCCCTGTGCTCATCGCTGCGCTCTGGGCGGCGGCGCTGCTCTCCGCGGGGCCCTTCTTCTTTCTGGTGGTGCCTCCAGCAGGACCCAGGCATCTACGAGCTGCCAGAATTTAACAGGACTGAGCAGGTTACTCTGTCACCTGGAGCGCCGCCGTCCCCGCCTTCCGGGCCCGAGGCCGCAGCGCTGTTCAGCCGCGAGTGCCGGCCGAGTCGCGCGCAGCTGAGTGCGCTGCGCATCATGCTGTGGGTCACCACTGCCTACTTTTTCCTACCTTTCCTGTGCCTCAGCATCCTCTACGGGCTCGCTGGGCGGGAGCTGTGGAAGACCCGGGGTCTGCTGCAAGGCCCGGCTGCCTTGGGACGGGAAAAGGACCATCGGCAGACCGTCCGCGTCCTGAGTAAGTGCTGACCTCTCTGTTCCAAACACAGCAGCCCGAGGTCTGCACCGCCAGCGGGGCCAGGGAAACTCTACTGGCCCTCGGTTCTACATCCGGTCTCCAAAGAAAGCTATACCCTGTCTCCCAGTACTAGGTTCACGAACTTAATTCTTTCCACGATTCTGGTGGCAAAACAAACTGGACGAGAACCGAATCAAATAAGGTCAACATTGAACCTAACCATTGAATGTGATTCGGTTCTTGTCCAGTTAATTCTGTTTTAGACCAGAATCGTGGAAAGAATTAAGTTTGAGAACCGAGGCACCACCTTCTGGGGAACACCTGGGTATCCCAGAAAGTGAGATAAGCGGTGGTCTAGTGAACAGCAGTGATTTTCCGAAGCCGCTCAGGGCTCTTGATCCTATTGCCTCTGTCAGATGCTACTGCTGTGGATTACTCAGTACCCTTGAGAAAACAGGGTAGATTGCAGTAAGCTTAAGATTTTATTGAATGTTAAGTTATCCTGAAGGCTAAAGTGAACCATGCCCATATCAAAAAAATCAAAGATTGTGTAGACCTGTTGCAGAATTCTTTCCAACAAAGAGCAAAGAACATGTCTCTGAAGTGGGTTTGTGGAAGCAAGCTTGCCAAAACAGCAGTTGCCTTTCTGGTTTGTAGCCAGACTTGAGAACACAGATATGAGCCTAACATGCAGGCAGGTTTAAATAAATATTGATGCAGTTAACCAACTGGATTGTTTGTTTGTTTGGTTTTGGTTTTTGGCACGGGGATCTTGCTAGGTACAAGTTCTAATTTATTTTGCTGTTACTGCAGATGGTTTCTTGGAGGGATCCTTATTTGATTTTGAGTGCTTTTGCTAATTATGGCACCTGTCTTGTTTTTGCAGTAGTCGTGGTTCTGGCATTTATAGCTTGCTGGTTGCCTTTCCACATTGGCAGAATCATTTACATAAACACGGAAGACACCCGAATGATGTACTTCTCTCAGTACTTTAACATTGTTGCTCTGCAACTTTTCTATCTCAGTGCATCCATCAACCCTATCCTCTACAACCTCATTTCCAAGAAGTATAGAGCAGCTGCCTGTAAACTGCTGCTCACAAGACCATCCAAGCTGAGAGGATTCTCTCCTCCAAGCCGGGAGGATCCTAAGCAGGACACTGGAGAAGACAGTGCTGGCTACACAGAGACAATGACTAACTCAAAGACAATGGCCTAACCAGCCCAGCAAAGCCAGTTCTGGGATTCTGGGGACAACAGATCTGTACAGACATAAGTGCAAGTGAGGGGTGGATGCTGTTAAGAAGACTGGAGAGTGGTTACAATTTTGCAAGTTGGTTAAGAAATTGTCAACAAGATTTTTTTTTAACCAAGGTATGAAATGTAACTACTCCAATCATTCTAGTCTCTCTTTCATGTATCTACATTCACTTTAGCATCATGAAATGCCACAAAATTTGCTCTGGAAAGGTTTGTAGTTCTTCATTCATTCTCTTCCTTTTTTGGAATATGACTGCTCATTTTATAGTTAAGTGATACAGAGAGACATTGCCTCCTAGATCAGGGGTGTATTTTGTTTTTATGTTTGAGATATAAATACAGTGATGCACACACAAGGAACCAAGATAATGAGAAACTGGATCCAAGGAATTATTTAATGCCTATGTAGGGCAGCAAAAACTTTTAGTAGCAAGTAAGAAAAATTTTGAAGATAGGCTTCAGTGTTCAGGGGTCCCACACTCTCCAGATTGGGAGTAAATCATAATGTTAAGGCACAATATCTTCTTTAAGAACTACAGTGGATAGAACTATTGCAACTTACCAAGTTGCATTATATAAAGGTACAATTCCCAATGAGAAATGTAATTGTGTTGTATACCTACAATGTACCAATAAAAGAATTTAATACAAAAAAAAAAAGAACTATTGCAACCTACTTCTTCCTGAGATTTCCTGTGGGGTTTTTCTGTTTCAATTGGCCTTGAAATAGCAAACTTGGACTTAAAGCCCCAGGGCAGAGAGCTGTAGCAGAAGTTGGCCTTCTGAGATGACTCCTGATGACTTTGTAAAGAGCTTTACTGCCTTACCTTTCCTCAGCCTGCTGGGTTGAGTATTATTATTCCTCTCTTACTAGTGATGGAACTGAGTGTTAGATTTCCAAACCAGGAACTCAGGGGACTCCATGTGAATCTAGACTTTAAGATTGTCATGCACACCCACACTGAGATGCCACAATTAATGAAAAACACAGGAGTCCATGGAATGAAAGAGAATGGATTGGACATTCTGACCAACTGTTACTTTGTGTTATCTTTTGTAATATAAAACCTAAACATGTTTTCATAGGGATGCTGCTGTGTCACACAACTCCAAAGGGCCTCATTCACAGCATAGTCTGTATGAATTCTGCTTTCTGGGGGTGGGCAGGGCACAACTTGCTCAATTGTATTTAAAGCCCTTTTCTGGTTTTCAGAGGGATAAAGTTCAAACCTAATGGTAGTATATTGTTGACATTTATGAAGAATTTGCTGTGAGATCTTTATGAAGGTCCACAAATACCAGATAACAGATCTACAATACCAGAAAATATCACAAATAACAGAAAAGTTTCAAATGCTATAAAATACAACTTCACCAGAGGTACAGTGAAAAACAGAAATAAGGTCATGGGCTGGGGATTTAGCTCAGTGGTTCCAGCACCCGCCTCGGAAGCACAAGGTCCAGAGTTCGATCCCCGGTACCAAAAAAACCCAAAAAACCAAAAGTAAGATCACAATGAGATTGCAAACTGGAGAGTTAGCCTATGTTGCTCGCTGACTTGGTGACTCCACTTCTCACGCGCAGTCTGGACAGCCTCAGCAAGTTTCTAAATTACTTCATGTCACAGAGCACTATGTTTCTTTTGAATAGTTAAAACTACAAGTGATGAATACATAAACAATCAGGTACTTCTTGACGTGGCAACAAAGTTCTACTGCTTTTTTGTTCTATTAGCCAAATACAGGCAAAGCATCCTAACTCTCTGGCCCATCCTCCACATGTGCAGGAGTGAAGGTGGCTCTAGCCTACCTCTGCTCACAGACAGTGAAGCAGCAGACAGCAGTCACTTGGGGAAGCATTGCCTAAATCATGTACTGCAGATTTTCAGGAATTATATTTCAAAAGGGCTCTGTGGTCAAACGTGGCAGAAAAACATCACATTGGGTACCCTTCTACCCCTCTTCCCAAGTCACAGTATAAGTTGTTGTTTCACTCGGGATTTCCTTATTTTATCATAGAAGCAATTCCCCAGCTCCCTCCCCAGGAACAGTCATTGAAACCTCAGGGAATGAGGAGCACTACTGGGAAGGATTGATATGGGAATTCTCCTGGTGGAGGGGCAGCCTTGTGCTGCTGCCTTTTCTCTGAGTGGTGGCATTAAGTCAGGATGTGCTGGAGCTGCCTGGGAAGCCCTCTCTAGAACAGTCAGAAGTCTGCAGCAGCCTCTGTCCTAAGAAAGGTCACAGCAGAGAACCTTAATGATCATTGTAGAATACTGTAAATATAGAGGCCAAGACTTCTCCTTTGAGCTCTTATTCAGATTCTAGAAAACAGGGATTTATTTTATACTTTTCTGGGACCAAAGCATGTTCCCAGGTGTGGTTGTGGGGAGGGTCATCCTTCCCTTTGCAGCAGGACCCCTGAGATGGAGAGTCTGAAGCCCATTGTCCCTTCAGGGTCCCAGTATGGTCTTAGCCCGTTATTGTACTGTGAAATCAGTGAAATGTGTCACTCTTTCTTTAATGGAATAGAATGAACAAGAATAGAATAGAATATCAACATGCCACATGTAGTGAGGGTAATTATTGTGTTGTGAAACTTTTGTTTCAATTATATATTTGTTGGTGTCTTTCTTGGTTCACAAAATAAAATGTATTCTTATTGTGGATCATGGTCACAAATGTTTGAAAAGTTCTTTTGAGATCTATAATTGTTCTCTTCCCCAACTGGGTGGCCTGATCTTGCACTGACCACTCAGGATACAGTATAAGGAGGGTCCTGGGAAGACCTAGAGTGGCCAAGTCATTCCAAACCAGCTGTGGTTTTCAGTCCTGAGCATTCCTCTCCTCCCTGGGTGCTTCCTGGAGGCTACGATCTGCTGGCCCCTGACAGAGACATGTGCTGACATTCAGCAACCTCTCTCTGAGCCCCTTTCCCTTCTTCAGGCCACAGGGTTTTTGTCACATTAGGTGAGCTGCCAAACATGGGTGAGGGTTTGCATTTCATTCATTCATGTGGCGAATATTTACCAAGTAATTGCCAGGTGTCAGATGTGTAGGATGAACTACACTGGAAAAATTAGTCCATGCTGCAGTGTCAAAATCAATCAATGCTTTAATAGCATTTTTATTTGAAATATGTAATTGTATCACCTAGACAAACCACAGATTCAGCTCACAGATTAACAAAAGCACTTATATGAGATACAAGGACAGAATATTGGGCTTCTCCTCTTTTCTGTAGGCTTCTCCTCTTTCCACTTTTGAAGAAAATGTTCAAGGCAATTTGGTTCTATACTTTCTACATCCAAGGAGTCCCTGTGCCAGGCTCATAGGCATACAAATGAGCTGTGTATAAATGATGTTTTAAATCTGAACATGCTTTCTGCTGACCCTTGCTGTTGATGTTATAAAAACATTTGCCAGTGTATAGAAGTGTTGTATATAAGTGGTTGCACGTATCTAGGGTTTTATACCAGACATGGTGGTTCATCTATAATCCCAGCACTCTGGGAGGTTGAGGACAGGAGGATCACAAGACTGAGTCCAGTCACAGCAACTTAGGGACTTAGTCAAGATTAGTGACTTGGGTCAAAATTTAAAATACAAATTTTTCCAAGGGCTGGAGGTATAGCTCAGCCTGGGTTCAACACTCAGTGCAGAAACAAAACAAAACAAAAAAAAACCTCGACAACAAAAAGTAGCTTTACTTAAAATTGATGAGATTAAATTTTATTTGTAAGCTTACTTTCTACAAATCCTGAATTTTGCACATTACAGAACACTGCTCAACTCTGAGTAGCCTTCAAAATCAGCATTTCCCTTCTGAGAGTGGAAGAACATTTGTCCTCATTGAGCACTACAGGAACACTTGGTGGCCAACCACTCATTCATTGGTCCCTCACTAAGTTATTTTTTTTCATTGGAGATCAAACTCTCAGGCAAGTACCCTACAACTGAGTTACACTCCAGCCTTAACACGCACTTTGCGGGGGCGGGGGGGGGGCTACCGGGGATCGAACTTGGGACCTTGCACTTTCAAGGCAGGCGCTGGAACCACTGAGCTAAAACTCCAGCCCAGCACACACCTTTTAAAGAATATGGGACACCAGTGTGATAAGGGTGAAAAAATGTCAGCCAGAGAGGGAGAGCTAAGTGTGGAGAGCCGGGGCAATGGTCTGTGCGGTTCTTCCCCATAGGCGGCTGGTTCCACTGGCTGTAACATGCTCTCTAAGGACAGGGGCCATGATTTATTCCACTCTGCCTCTTTTCAGGTAGATAATGTGCACTGAACTCAAATGACTGCAAGTGAGGGGACAGGGTCTTTACCCCAAGAGATGGAGACAGGCAAGTGATCAGATGACTGGGGCTTTCCTTCTAAGCTACTGGACAGCACAAATACCATAAGACCAGTGTGACACAGCATGGAGAAAGGGGCTCTGCAAAGAAGGAGAGGGTACAGATGTAATAGGGAGCTGCATCCTACAAAACAGACATAGAAGGTGCCCGGAGGCTGGGACGAGGAGACCAGCTGAGACTCATCATTCGCCCTGACCTGAGTCTAGGACACTAGGTAAAGAGCAGCTTCAGCACTTTCCAGTGCCAGCACCCTCCCCCCATCTTCACCCAGCACCACATGCTTTGGCATCTCCCACCTGGCATCTCTGGCATCACCCATGCCTTCCCAGACCCAGGCTGGCCCCTGAGGAAAGGGCCACTGCTTCACCTCTCCCTTATCTCATCTTTGCAGTGAATGTACGAGTCTAAAATGCTCTATGAATTTCTACTACTGGAAAATGATAAGGGGATAAAATGAGCTGGTTTTTTGGGGTTTTTTTTAAAGCAGCTGAGTGTGGTGGTATATGGCTTCAATCCAGGCACTTGTGAGGCTGAGGCAGGAGGATCATTTGTTTGAGGCCAGCTGGGGCTGCATAGTGAGATCCTGTTTCAAAAAGACAAATAAAAAAGTGAATGCGTGGAAGTTTCAGTTATAACAAGTCTTAAAAGCTTCAGGAGCTAAGGATGTAGCTCAGCAACAGTTTGCCTAACATGTATGAAGCCCTGAGTCTGATCCCTGGCATCTGTCCCTCCCAAATTTTTTTCATTGTGACAATTAGGCCTGCTCCTAATTTGAACATAAAACAGAGCTAAACCTTATCTTTCTTTGTTCCTGTTTTACTTCCACAATAGTCCACTACTTTGTCCTTAGTGGCTACCAGTGCCTGTTTCTGGGGCATTTTATTCCCTACCCTGGCTCCATAGGTCAGTGGTTCTCAAACTTCAGCCTTCATCAGAATCATGGAAGATAAGTTAAATTAGACTGTTTTACCCCAGAATATCAGATTTATAGTTCTAGGTATGGGGTAGGACCCAAGAATTTTCATTTCTATCAAATTACTTCCTTCTGATGCTGATGTTGATGGTCTGAGAACCTGGACTACAGGTTCTTGCTACAGAATATGAGTCATTAGACCAGCATGACATTAACATCTCCTAGAATTGCTAGCATGCAAATGTTCAGGGCCCATTCCAGACCTACTTAGAATCTGCATTTTAACAAGATCCCTAGGGGGTTCATATGCTCATTA